CTTCCTGAGCGAATCGTCTTCAGGCAGGTAGAGGGGTGACTATGAGGACACCATTCCTGTCGATGAGTCCTGGAGAAAGCGAGCAAGTGTGTGGTAAAGAGAAATAGCCTAGAACAGTAGCCTACCTGCACTCAGTGTCTACCGTGTGAGCCTGCCTTGACACACAAAGCCGTGGACAATTAAAGATAACAGTCTGTGTGGTGTGCACTGGACAGAGCAGTCGGCTCCGTGCAGATACGGTGCTATTGTACACGCAGTAGGAAACAGTGGTAGTGGTGTGCGTGTGTGTGTGTGTGTGTGTGTGTGTGTGTGTGTGTGTGTGTAGGAGGGAGCAATGGTGGTGTGTGTGTGGAGGAAGCAGCGGAGTTCACAGCATGGTAGAACACAGGATATCAGCAGAGGTGGTATCAGAGTTCTTGTGTATCCATGCTCTGGACAAGAGAGTTACCACAGAGGAAAATTACTGTCTGGTGCTAATCACAGATGACTCTCAAGGACCACCACAGTGCAGTGAACTGGACCTCTGAAGAGCATCAAAGAAAAGGTGGATAGATTTTACTCTTGGTTTATCCCAATCTGCTATCATATGAGAGCTGTATAGTTGTCAAAGGATATTGACAAATTCTAGAACCTTGACATCTGACCTTAGGGCTTGGAAACATAATTAAGTTAAAGACAATAAAACAAGAAGGTGCCAGATTAACCAGAAATCCAGGGACAATTATCAATATAAAGATCAGACAAGAACAATGGCCACCAGAAGAGTGGCATGGTGGACACCAGGTGTTGAGAAGACAGACGGGGAAACTACAATGATGTGGTTACACACCAAGGACAGGACCGCCTGAAGCCAAAGAAACTGGAAGGATGCAGGAGGATGCAGGATGTGCTCTTCGCTCGTTCCAGAGGACGTCATGCTGTGAGACTCCAGGTGCACAGAGCATGAGAAGGGGAAGGACGCGGACACTGCAGGTCACCCTGTCTGGAGACGGACTACAGCACCAGGAAACACATGCAGATGTTCCTCAGCTTCTCAGCGTCATCTGGAGAAACTCATTACAGAAGGCCAAGATTCAGTTCCTATCCCGAGTCAGCCAGCATCTTGGCCTAGAACAGCCCACCTTCACCCTGCCCATCACTGGCACAGCCCACCTCAACCTGCTCATCACTAGCAAGGACCCCCGAGCCTACTCATCACTAGCATGGACACACACACACACACACACACACACACACACACACACACACACCCGAGCCTGCTCAGCACACTTACATTAGTATATAGCTTGGTAAAACTGTATAGCATGATTCTTACATAGCAGAGGGGTTTTTAATGTCCTTGTGGGATACTTGGGGAGGACTTTGAGCATATCAGCAAAGTTCATAAACTTCCTTAACCATATGGTATCTATGGGTTTAAACCACCCGAACATAAGCTAGATGTGTTTTATTCTCTTAATGAGCTATCAAACTTCCAGGACAGAAATAGGCACCATTCACATCATTAGTGGCTGGCACCTCCCACTGCAGTGTTCTCAGAAGGTCCTGTTTGCCTTACACATTCTTCTGCAGTGAAAAGGCTTCTTCGAGCCAAAGACATAGTCTGCAGTCCAGAAGGAAGTATCTTCCTTTAGGGTAGGTTGTTCTTGTGCTCTGATACAATACCTTGATAAATATAACTTAAGGGAGAAAGGGTTTATTTTGTTTCAAGTTCCGGGGGATAGAGTCCACCACAGTGAAGAAGGCATGGGCATGGGAAGGGGCAGGGGAGGCATGTCAGCAGGACCAGGAGCTGGCTGGTCACATTGCATCCAGATTTAGGAGAGAAGAGTAGGTACGGTCAGGTTACAGTGCCTCGAGGCACACCCCCATGACATATTTCTTTCAGAGGCTCCACCTTAAGGTTCAAGAGCCTTTCCAAGCATCTCTGCCAACTGGGAACTAAGTGTTCAAGCACATGATTCTATAAGGGGTATTTCCTATTCAAACCATGGCATCGTCATAGATTCCTTTGTTTGGTTTTGTGAGACAGGTCTTTCCTGCAGCTCAGACTCTGGCAGGTCAACCTTGCCTCAAATTCACAAGCAATTCTTCTGTCGCAGACTCCGGAGGGCTGAGAATCCAGGTGTGTGCATTCGTGCACAGCTCTGATGGCCCCTCTTCAAACAGTGAAGCATCCTGCTGGGAGTTCATACAGAGGGGTTTCAAGAAGGAGGCAGACATCCTAAGATGCCCATCTTCTTCCTATGTCTCACCTGGTCTCAGTGATGCAAACTATGTGGGGGCCACAGAAGTGACCCACTCCACCTTGACTGAAGGTCAGAGAGCTGAATCCTATTTTTTTTTTTTTTTGGTTTTTCAAGACAAGATTTCTCTGTGTAGTAGCCCTGACTGTTCTCAAACTCACAGAGATCTGCCTGACTCTGCCTCCTGAGTGCTTGGATTAAGGTGTGTGCTGCCAGGTTTTGACAAGAAGTCTGACTTAAGGAGCGGCTGCAAACAAGATGTCCTGACCTAGGGTGTGGCTACTCGATGTTTTGGATATTAAGATGGCCCATAGAGGTGGATCTGCTTCACTTTGACCAAAGGTCAGAGAATTTAAGTCTATTTTTGCTCCTTTATTTTTAAGACAGGAGTTTTGACCCAGGGAGTGGCTGCCTACAGGATACTTGGTCTAAGGTGTAGTCACTGCATGTCCTACCTAAACAACAGGATACTTAACTCAGGATACAGTGGCTTCATGTTTTCAGAATTAAAACAAGTAATTGCTCTGTTTGTCCTTTGTGTCATGTTAAAGCTGTCTTTTGCATTCTCCCTTTTTGGATTGGGATATAGAAGTATATAGAAAATAAACACCGGTATAGTCAGTATTCATTGGATAGCCCTCCTGGTTCTAGCCTATCTCTCTGTTTTTCTTCTGTATCTCTGCTTCTCCTACCTAATTTTTCTAATCCACGTGCTCTACCCTGAAATGTGTGAACCCCATTGAGGCTGGACCCCAACAAATTGGGCGCATATGGGAAGCAATGTGTATTAGATCAAAAATGGCATTGACCAAAAACTTGAAAGAGACCTCAGATGAATTGTTCCCAGTGGCTTAGTGGAAATTCTGTTTTAAATCTGTTTTGGCTTCACAGTTGGTAAAAAGAAAATCACATGACAAAAGAAACGACATTATCCATAGACAGGCCTTTAATAGATGATGGTAGCTTTGGGTATAGATGTAGATAAGACATCCAGGAAGTGTTGTACTGCTGAGAGATGTGCTTGCTTTGTGACACTCTATCCCCACCAGTGTGATGTGATGTCAGAGAGAAACAAAGCCTGCAGGGTCGAAGAGAAGCAGAGCAATTTCTGGAAGAATGGTGGTTATTGCTTCTAAACTGTCAATCAAATTTCTGGAGCTCCTCGTTCTTGGGCTTATTAAAGAGAAAGGGACTTAAAGGGGGGTTGGAAATTTTATATTCCAGTGTAGTCGTTGAGGACAACCAGGCCAGACAGCCCATAGATCACTGAAAATGCTTCCTTGGAAACTTCCAGAAAGAACTAGTACAAGAATGAAAGTGGCTGTCAGTAAAATCACATTCAGGAAACATTGCCCAAGTTCAGCAAATCTATCCAAATGTTCTGCACTCTCCATATTGACCACAAGCCAGTGATCAATACACATAGAGATGTTTTACCATAAATCCAGAATAAGCTCTGATTGGAAACACGGTTAGGAGATAGACCATGAAGGGCTAGGTTGCAAGGGCCCGGGCATAAGAAGGTAAGATCTGAAAATGGGAGTTTGAGACATCAATAAACATTTAATATGGTTTATAAAGATTTCTATATAGTGTTAAGATAAGGGGTAGCAGTTGCAACAATGGTGCAGTCCCTCCCCCCTTTAACATGCACCATTGGACTAATAAGGGTTTTTTGTGTGTGTGTTTGAACTTGAACAAGCTAATGGCCTCTGGTGAGAACAGACTTCATTTAAGAAAACACTTCCATAACATCAGCCCATAGCCAAGTCTACAGAGCATTTTTTGATTGATATTTGAAGGGGATGGACCCGACTCTCTGTGGGCAGTGTCACCCCTAGGCAGATGGTCCTGATGATATAAAAGTTCGCAAACTGAGAAACCATGATGAGCTAGCCAGTAAGCAGCACTCCTGATGTGGGATTCCCTCTCTGTATGCTGTGAATACCATTGGTTAATAAAGAAACTGCCTTGGCCTGATAGGGTAGAATATAGGTAGGTAGGGAAAACTAAAGTGAATTCTGGGGGAAAGAAGGGTAGAGTCAGAGAGAAGCCATGAAGCCTCTGCCAGAAACAGACGTGTTGAAACTTTGCCGGTAAGCCACTGCCATATGACGATACACAGACTAATGGAGATGGGTTAAATTAATATGTAAGAGTTAGCCAATAAGAAACTAGAGCTAATGGGCCAAGCAGGGATTTAAATAATACAGTTCCTGTGTGATTATTTTTGGGGCTAAGCGGCTGGAAACTTACTAGTGGTCTCTTTCCAACACACTTCTCTATGGCCTCTGCTTCTACTCCTTTCTTCGGGTCCCTGCCTTGAGTTCCTGCCATGGCTGCTTCCAATGGTGGACTGCAACACTCAAAGCATGTAAACCAAATAAATCCTTTCCTTCCCAAGTTACTTTGGTCACTGCATTTACTGCAACAGTAGACAGCAAACTAGGACACCACTTCCCCTTCTGTCAGACACCTGAAGAGCTTGTTCTGATAGACAAGCGGATAACATTATGCTCGCTGGAATTATGAGGAGGCTGGTCATGAAGCACAGTTTCATATCCACTCCAAAGCTGTTTTAGGCACGAACTTGAAATGAGTCTTGCTTCCTTGGAGCACTTCGGCTTCCCTGGGTAAGGATGCATGTTCTGTATAAACCAATGAGCAGAGTCTGAAAGGAGGATGCTTATGACGAGTCAATACTGGTTTATGGATATCTCATTTCTACATCCTCAGAGCTTGTTTTAATTCTAGGGAGGACTGAGCATCACACAGGAGAAGCTGGATTCATGCATAGGAGCAAATGAATCTCTACCCAGAGATCTCTACTACAGGGGGAAGCAGCAGCCACTGCACAGAGGGACTTCACATGCTTCCTTGCGTCTGCTCAGCATCGCTGAGGGTGGAACACCTCTAACCTTCTCTGGGTTATGTCATGGGTCTGACAATGCAACATGGGATGCTTTGTTCCAGCTGCAGAAGGAGCAAGCAGGCAAACACTCCCTGTGCAACATTGCTGCCATTCACTCTACAAATTCCTTTCGCTTTGTAGGTCCCTGACTGCCTTCAAATGAGCCCTGATCCAACTGATGATTCGAGCGCTTTTAATTAAGCAGATTCAGGTCCCTACCTCTGAATAATTTAACGCAACTATACCCCTGAGGGCAATGCTTTCTTAAGTAAACAAGAGCATATGAACCCAAACAACCATTTCCCAATTTTATGCAACACAGCAACTCATAATTTAAAGAGTAGCTGCTTCATGCAACCCAGATATATGCCCCTCACTGGTGCACAATCTGATTGCATAGGGTCTGTGAAACAGCTTTTGGTACCATGCGCAGTTAGCATTGCAGTGACCTCCAGCCTGGACACTCCTCCCCAGTCTATGGTCCCATTTTTCTTCCCCATACAGCAGCTAATGTCCCACCTGAAGGCATCATAGCTGGCACATCATGTCTGCGGACAACCTTGCAGGGACCGAAGCTGCCCTTGGTCTACACTCACAGGGCACAGCACCTTCACTTCCTGGCCTCCCCTGGATGCCAACATTTCATTAAGCCACAGCTCTCTCATCCTCAACTCTCCCCTCCTCCATCCTGGGCTCTTACAGCCTACCCTTTGGTGAACGATTTATAATTCATATTTTGAATCAGAGACTGAAGTTCATGTCCTTGGCAAAGCCTCCTCTGACTCATCCTGATTCCATCCCACCTCTCATTTTCTTCTCTCGGAATGTCTTATACTTTTCTTCAGTGGGGCTTGTCACAATATTTAATCACATATCCTCGTAAAATAACCAGGAAAGCAGGGCCTATTTCTATCCATAGACCTGTTGATAGCCACTGTCCAGCCTTTACCTGCACAAAGAGGGTGTACTCTATTATTTTAAATATAAAGAAGGTTGCTATGTATATAGATCAATTGCAAAAGCTTTTTTTTAAGTTCAAGTTTTCTAGGGCATATTCCATATTTGCTTCAATTTTGCCAATTTCCTGTGTGCAGTCATACAATTCAGTGAAATCCAGTGAAGCAGAATAGTGGGGTTAGATTGGGAATGGAAGCATTGCAGAACCAGAAACACAGACAAGGACATTCTTCCTTCTTCCTTCTTCCTTCTTCCTTCTTCCTTCTTCCTTCTTTCTTCTTCCTTCTTCCTTTTTCCTCCTTTCTCCTCCCTCCTCCTTCCTCCTCCTTCTTCCTCCTTCCTCCTTCCTCCTTCCTCCTTCTTCTTCCTCCTTCCTCCTTCCTCCTTCTTCCTTCTTCCTTCCTCCTCCTTCCTCTTCCTCCTTCTTCCTCCTTCCTCCTTCCTCCTTCTTGCTTCTTCCTTCTTCCTCCTTTCTTCTTCCTTTTTCTTCCTCCTCCTCCTCCTCTTCTTCTTCTTCCTCCTCTTCCTCTTCTTCTTCCTCCTTCTCTCTCTCTCTCTCCTCTCTCTCTCTCTCTCTCTCTCTCTCTCTCTCTCTCTCTCTCTCTCTGTTGTGCTTGCTCTCTTTTTCTTTTCCTCTGGTCCACAGGCAGTTGTCACAGAAATATTAGCAGTTTAAGAACTGTTACCAGATAACTTCCCCTTAATGGAACATTACCTGCTCTTGTGTGTTGAATATGAATGATTAAAAAAATCAACTAAGGAGCTTTAAAATCATAGCTGCCCAGAGAATGGAATTAGGAGCCATGTACAGTAAAAGAGGTTTCATGGGATTAAAGAGGCAGGATGCCCCCAAAATACAGTATGCTATCAGAAACAAAGCCTAAGAACAAATTGGCAGGGGATGGGGGTTATTAATATGTTCCCCAAGAGTCAAGAGCCCCTATGTCTGTCTGATGACAGGAGGAGACTAGTATCCCAACATACAAATGAAAGAGCAAAGTCCCCTTTTCAAATCTCTTTGTTCTGCTTAGGACTTAATAGATGTGATACTTCCCGCCCACAGTGGTAAGAGTGGATCCCCTGTGTTCCATCAGACACATCCAGAGAGTGTTTTAGCAACATCCAGAGCATCTCTTAACACAATCACTGTGACCTATAACATTAGCCCTCATGGTAATAAGATGGCCTTCAACTGTGTGAAGGATTTAACAGCAACTCTACCATATAATGTCCGGTGACTCATTCTCTCAAAATACTTCTTAAAAGCTCAAGATACAGGCAATCTGGTCTCTACATAAAGGGCCCATTTCTTGAGAAGCTAAAGCTGTTCGCTTGGGGCTGGTATGCAAAGTAGTGAACCTCTACTCTAAGCCAGGAAGACATCAGAGAAACAATCCCACTCCATGCCCAGTGGGTTACATATCCGCAGTGCTTGAGAGAGCTAGCTATACTTCCTGTCTTTCACTCAATTCTTGAACATTCCTTTGCTGGAACCTCCACTTTGATGACTTGCACCTAGAAGTACTTTTGGTCTCGGAAGAGGGAGGACAGGGTCCAGAACTTCTCTCAGGTTTTCAGGATAACCCAATGAAATATCAACAGATCTAGTCACTCTGTCTTCTCAAGCCTATCCAGTTCACAATTCCACATCTGTAGCCGTGAGACGTACAGTCTTGTCAATTCCCCAGATGCCTTCACGATATCCCAATACAAAGTGTGTGCATTCTTCTTAATCATGCTAGTATCCTAACAACGTGGCTTCCCCGTCTCAATTTTTTTCTTCCTCTTTTTATTGAAAATGCTTTCTTTCCCGCACAGAGTATATTCTGCTTATGGTTTCCCCCTCCTCGACTCCTCATAGTTCCTTCCTCTCCACCTCTCCTCCCATCCAGATCCACGTCCTTTCTATCTCTCACTAGAAAACAGACTTCTATGGGGTAATAAAAAATAAAACATAAGATAAAACAAATTCTAATGAATCGGAATAGGACTTTTTTTTCTTGAATCACCACTTTTTGCAACTGGTTCTTGATGTAAATCAGACTAAAAGCAGTTGGGAGTATTTTGTCGTCCGAATGCTGTTGTTTTGGACTTTCTTCAGCCAAATTAATAATTCTGTGACTTCTAACCTTAGCCTCCCACAAAGCTTCAGGACAAGGACAAAATATAGGTAAGCTATTTATGAGGTGTAACAGGAATGGCTTCTAGTTCAGTTCCTAACAGAGTTCTTGTTCTTAAACAAAATCTCATGCGAGCAGGTCTTGGTGTGCACATTCCTGTAAGCATTCGGACCTGCAATCCCCCTACTTCACCCATTGAGCTCCACCTGCAACACTGCAGGCGGCGTCTCCAGCTCATATCTTCACATTGTTCTGAACCACTCCCACAAACTATCATGAAAAGTCCAAGAACCATGGTCAGAGGGTATCAGAGCAATGCCTCCCTACTCTGCTACCAACTTCCCGTCTTCCTTGTACCACTGTTGTGAAACAATACATCACTTAAAGGACAAAGGGTTTATTTTGTTTGATGGTTTTAAAGGGGGCAGTCTATGGTTGCTTGTCCTCACGGGACTGGGAAAAACATTATATTGATGGTGTCTGTAATGGAACTTGTGACCAACTATTGAGAGATTGGAAATAGACAGAGGAAGGGCCTGGAACAGTATGTCCCCATCCCAACAATTTTCCCCTGGTGACCATTTTCCTCCCACTATTTCTCAAACATCCTCATATAGTTCCACCAACTGGGAGCCAAACTTCTAATGCAGGAGCCTTGGGGTGGTGGGGCACGGGGACAATTCAGGTACAAAGAATAATACATTTGCTTAGAGAGAGATGTTGTAAAGATACACAAAGGTGACACAGAAGATAGACATGAAGATAATAGGTAGGTAGATAGGTCAATGCCATATAGATAATGGATGGATGATAGATATTAATTATCAATTTTGGAGGATCTAAAATCATCAATGATACAAGTTTTTCTGTGAATCTCTGAGGGATTATGGTGATTAGTCTGACTGGATGGGGGAAGACCCATCCTAAATGAGGGTGGCATTGTCCAACTTGAAGTGTATACTACATGAAAAAGTGAGTTGAGGACAATCATCTGTCATCTTTTCTTCCTGAATGGGGATGTGAAGTGCCTAGATGCCCCATTTCCCATCGCTGCATCCCTTGCCATGTTGGACGGTATCTGTTAAACATTCAGCCAAAAGAAACCCTTGCTCCAGCTTCTGTTTGTCAGATAGTTGGTGTGTCCCAGTGTGTCCCGGTGTGTCCCGGTGTGTCCCAGTGTGTCCCTGTTAGTTCTGTTACCTTTACACACATTAGAGTGATCTGGGGAGAAGAACCTCAGTTGGGAAATTTTCTCCGCTAGGTAGGATTGCAGGTAACTGTGTGGTTCATTTTTTTGATTAATGATCAAGGCAAGAGAGTTCAACCCACTATGAATGGTGCCACCCTGAGATAAGTGTTCTTGGGGGTATAAGAAAGCTATGGCTGAACCAGACAGTAAGCAGTAGTCCTCTATGGCCTCTGCCTAGGTTCCTATCTTCACTTTCCTGCCTTAAGGTCTTGCTATGGCTTCCCTTAGTGATGGACTACCCCACAAGCTGAAACAAACACTTCCTCCCCAAAGTGGTTTAGTTAGTGTTTTAGCAACAGAGTAGTGAACAAGGATATTTGGTCACAACAACCAGAAAAATAATAGATGATATGTAGATGAATATATAAAGAGGTAGATATTCGACAGACAGTTTACAGATTGAATGTTCATCATAATGTTCTATAATGCCAGAAAAGATGGTGGAATATGTCTCATTTAATGCCTTGTTATGTGGACTGAAACTTAAGGCACATATGTGGGACAGAGCTGCATGTAGATTGTAACTGTGAACCTCCCCAGTGAACACACTGTATGGCTACCAATATTACAGACCAGGTCATTCTGCACAAAGGAAAAAGAGAGCATACCGTTGTGGAGAAGCAGATCCCTGGAGGAGGAGAATAGAGGCCTGATCAAGGTCTGCCTAGAAGAAGGGACAGTAACAGATGCAGAGATAGAAGATACAAGCTCGTGACATATTCAAAGAACAAGGGGGGACAGGCAAGACTTGGCAGTGAGCTTCGACTTCAATCTGTTTTATAGCTTGGGGTCAATTGGAATA